TTCATGCAGCACAATATACTTGCAGAAAATGTACTTCTCCTGAAAGAAGAAAACGAATGCAGTTGCCACATGAAAGGACCGGTAAGCTGCTATACACATTTTTGTTTTTGGACTTAGCTATATTTTAGGGTAAAGGTTAGATGCCAATAAAGGAATTTGACCCGCACACGCTTATCTAGCACCCATTCATGTCTGCACATGTGCGCTGGTATGCATACGCACAGGAGTGAAGTTTTCCTTTAAAAAACACTAAATTGTAGGCACTGGCATAAATGTGAACCGGCCACACAGAGTAGGAAGGGATTTCTACTTCTTCTTCCGGAAACTACATAACAGTCTCTTAGCACAGGATGACCACAGCATGGAGCTCTCTCCATGCAGCTAGTCTCATTTACATAAACCACACCCCACACGCTGCTTCCTAACGTCAGCATTCAGACTCCACGGCCGGGTGGTCAATAAAGTTAAGCGGAAGACAAGGCTGACGTAGACTATTGGCAAGTCGCGGCGGCCACACACACTTCCGGGTGAGCAAAGTGAGGGCAGAGCTGGCAGTGTGCGGGGCATGACAGCTTGTACTGCTGGAAGCCACAGGTAACACCGACCCGGGGCTTGTCATTGTCCCTGTCACTGAGAACACTTTATAGAGAGGGAATTCTGGGACTTGTAGTGCGCTCAGCATACATTGCTACACAGTGCATGGGTCAGAGCAAGTGTAGACATAATAAGGGGCTGCTGTTCAGTAGACCGGTATCTGTGTGTATGTGTGTCATCTGCCTGAAAAGCCTTGCAGCCCCCCATTGGCTAACTTTTCTTATCAATAATAATATTACAAAGTTTATCGATAGAGAGAGAGAATAGATATACCATACTCTGTGCAATAGATAGAGAGCGACTGACTGGTCACATGCCCTTTAGCAGCCAATCAGAGTCTTTGCTGAGTGGACATAGCTGTGGCCAATAGGTGAAAGAAAGGGCATTGTCTTCTGGGATCAGGACCAGGGATGGGCAAACTCCGACCCTCCAGCTCTTGTGGAACTACAAATCCCATGAGGCATTGCAACATTCTCCCAGCCACAGATGCATAATGGGATTTGCAGTTTCACCACAGCTGGAGGGCCAGAGTTTGCCCACCCCTGATCTAGAGAGACCCATACTGGCTGTTGGGTATGAAGGGGGTACAGAAAGGGGTTTAGAGCCCGACTGAACCTTTAGTTTAAATCGACTGAATACATTTCAGGTGCATCAAGACAAAAGGAGTTCCGAGACTTACAGTTCATTTAAAAAATAAATAAATGTAAAGCTCAATTGAACTTGCAGTTGAAATCATCTGTTTACATTCCAGGTGCATCCAAACAAAAGGTGTGCAGTTCATTTTCTTTAGAAGGCAGTCACAGAGTATAGAAGACTGTCCCCTGCCAGCATCTGGTGAAGAACTGTTGCTCTATGTGAGAAAGCAGTGGTCTCTCTGCAGAGGTCTGTAGAAGGGATGAGCTCAGGTTTGGACTGAACCTGGTCCAAACCTGAGCTCTTCCAAACCTGGAAGGAGCCCCGCTCGAACACAGAAGGAGTCTCCCCTCCTCCTGCAGTCACTGTATAGAGTGTGAATAGATAAGCAGCATAAGGAGCATGCTGATAGGAGGAGAAAGCACAGTAACAGATAATCTCATCACTGTGCTGCTTCTCCTTTCACTGCCCAGTCTCAGGCTGGAGATGGGTCCAAAATGACCTGTGCTGAGAGGAAGTGGCTTAAATGGCCATGGCTATCAGCCAGGGGGCATCTAGTGGCTGGAAAACAGTACTAGGAGGAGATCTCTGGTCTGAAGATGACTATTGCAGCAGAAGCTGTTTTTATTTGATCTGTTGATGGGCTGTTCATTTTAATCTTATTTTGGCTGGAGTTCTGCCTTACGAAACATCCAACCAAGGACTCTTGCATAGCAGAGAGGATAAAGAGAGGGAGGTTGAGTGATCAGGTTCTCCCAGTAAAATTGGAGGGTCTTGCCTCCCTTTCAGACTGGTACTGGGGGTGACTGCCCGGATCACACAAAGCCAGCTCTGTATGTGTACATTATGATAAGTGCTGCACATAAAGTATGAGTGGAAGTTATTGCAGGTCCATTATCTCTGTCCACGTGTCGCATGCACTAATCACCAGGGTTAATGTTTAACATGCGTATCATATAACACTTGCTGAGCTAAGAGAGGTAAAAATTAGGCTTGTGTCCAGGTGCTGACCTCATTTTTATATGTGTCATTACAGAAGGCGCTGGAGGAGGAGGAGGCGATGTTGGAAGCTGTGACTGGACTTTGCGGTGACAGACTGTGGAGCAGGTGACATGTGGAGAGCAGGCGAGAAGAGGAGGTAACCCGGAGTGTTGCCTATGGCCAGGTAATTTTTATCAGCGGTCGTGTCTTTTGGTGGCTGGACAGAGCAGTGGGCAAAAGTGACCAGGCCAGCATTTGGCAGTCAGCAGCTTTAAATGAACATGTGGCTCTTAAGGTGGCCATACACTTTACAACCATCGCAAGACTAAGGTCTTGGTTGTAAAGTAATTTAAAAAAGTACGATCTGCCCATCTTGGGCAGGCAGATTGTACTTGCAATCATCGCAAGCCCGCCACGCTGAGGGGCGGGCTTCCAATGACCACAATGCTGAACGGGCAGTGTGCGCGTGTGCACACCGGCCCGTTCGCCATTTGTCTCCCGAGCATGCCACAAACTATTTTCGGCTGGTTTTCTAACATGCTCCTTAAACAAAAGACGTGCGACAGTACAATAGAAACGGTCGCACGCCTTCCATACACTGAACGATCCTCGTACGAGAATCGTGCAGTGTATGGTCACCTTTAGCCAGGGCTGGACATATCCCGGGAGCCAATGCTCCCTTCAAATTATGGCTGGCGCTTAACATTTGAGGCTTTCTTTACATGTTGTCAATGGAGCTTTCCCCCCCAAAAAATCCCACTCATAGATTGGACAGCCTGGCTCCTGAATATTGTTTTGTCCACTCCCTACTCTCAGCTATTTCTGATGTTGTTAATTATTATACAGAATTTATATAGCGCCAACAGTTTGCACAGCGCTTTACAATATAAGGAAGACCTTACAATTACAATACAATTCAAGACAAGACGGTAAGAAGGGCCCTGAGGGCTTACAATGTAAGGGGGAGGGGCAAGTGATACATGAGGAGGTTGCTGTGTGGGGATGAATTGTTTAAGAAAGTGATAGTTCAGTGGTTAGTTTGTGGTGCGGTAGGCTTCCCTGAGGTTATGAATCTTCAGGGATTGCCTAAAGGCAGTCAAAGTAGGAGATAGCTGGACAGGTTGGGGTAGGGAGTTCCAGAGGATTGGAGAGAGGAATCCTGGAGGCAAGCAACTGTTGACCAAGAAACTAGAGAGCAGGAGGTCTTGGGAGGAGCAGGCGGGACAGTAAAGGTGATACTTTGAAATGAGATTGAAGTTATATCCGGGGGCAGAGCTGTGAATGGCTTTGTAAGTGAATGTTAATATTTAGAATTGTATCCTTTTGGCTATTGGAAGCCAGTGCAGGGATTGACAGAGGGGGGTTGCAGACACTGAGCGGTTGGTCAGGTGGATGAGCCTAGCAGCAGCATTCATGATAGACTGAAGGGGGATAGCCTGTGTAGAGGGTAGGTCAATGAGGAGGGATTTTAGTAGGTGATTGGTTACCCTCAATGTGTCTTTTTTTTCACCCCCATCCTATGCTACGTGTAAATCACATCATACATTGTACTTTCCGTTTCTATATACATGTATATTTCCCTGTGTTTTGCCATTTTTAAAATGCTGCAAGTACAAACAAATCCCTGCTGATCTTCAATAAATCCAGTGAGCACTGACAACACTGCTTCTGCGGCACTGAAATCCCTAGTAGTGCTTTCACCTCTGCTGGACTACAGAACACCTACCCCTGCTCTACATCTTCTCATGACCAGAACATATAAGGGTGGCGTTCTTTAGTTCAGTAGGAGAGATGCCATGTGATATGCTGTTTAGTTCTGTTAATAAAAATCCATTCAAACCTGAACTGAAGACTCGCACTGGTGATGATGGTTCAGAATTCTAATTTATTTCTTATTTTTTTTTCTCTTTCCAGAATTAGCTTTTCCTGCTTGTTTCCTGGGTCCTGGCACTGTAGTCTGCCCTCGGTGACGCAGTTCTCCCGCCAGCGAGTGGTCCTGCTGGTCATCTTTATTGTGATACTGGTGGTCTTCCTGGTAGCGGTGGTAGACCCCAGAATCTGGACCACCAGAGCCTACCGGGACAGGCAATTCAGGAGGTCAGTAGATGACTTATTACTCACTTATTTCAGTGTACTTCTAACACAAAATATTCTTCCAGGCTGTAAGGAAATTTGCAATTTTAAATGGAGGTCAGCAGTGGTGCTCTAGGTATATTTATCTGCACAGGATGATTTAAAGAATACGTGCAGCATTTTCAGAGAAAGTGCACTTATTTCTGAGCACCTCCCCCGCTGACCTCCAATGAGCGTTCCCCCCCTCCCCCCAGACCAGGTATATGCACCGACAACGGATCTGACGTCCTATGAGAAATTAGAATATAGTTGGATCATTTCTGAGTAGGCTGATTGGACTGTCGGACAGACATATATTGTCTGTGGTACAGGTCAGGAATTAGCCCTGAGGAAGGGGGTATACCCCTGAAGCATGTCAGCTCTGTTGGTAGACACAGCAGGTGGCTGGTCCAGTGGCTGCTCTTCCCCTGTTAGTGATGCTGTTATGGATCTTTGGTATGAACCCTAAAAAGCTTTATTGATGTTATGGGCTTCAATACACCATCACAATTGTGAGCATTTTAAATTCCTTTTAAAAATGTTGTATTTATAAAATTATATTTCATGAGGAGTAAGTGCTTTTCCATTGTATCCTATCTGCGAGGAGATGTGCGTAGGGCATGCATGCACGCTATGTTCAGCACAGAGGGAATCGCGGGGTATGTAGTCCTGACATTTCAGCTCCTACCCGCTTGTAAAGTGCGCACTTCCCTAGAAGCGCAGTGGAGAGGAACACCTTCAAAAAGGGAAATGGAAGTACTTGGTTCAAAACTTTTTAGAAAAAAAGAATTGTTATACAGCTAGTTTCATGGAGCTGAAGGGAAAACAGGGCCCTCCTCTGCAGACGATACAAGATGCGGGACCTTGTGCCTCATGTGATTGCGGATTCAGGCAAGTATAAATGGCTTTTAGCTTAGTTTTTATTTTCTTGGTAATTAGTAGGGAATGGGGGGATCTGCTTTAAGCAATCTTTCTTGTGGGAGTTTTGAAAACCTTTTTGTAAACCATTGACACCCATTATAAGATTATTTTCAGTACGGTAATATACATAGAGGAAAGTTATGAAGACTAAAGGTTGGCGAGTTGCGTAATGTTGAGCACATCTCACGGCACTGGCATTGAACTGTTGATGACTCTTCTTTAATTAGCCCAGTCCAGATTCCAGGGTACCAGGTGCTCACGCTCTCATTGCCCACTTGTGATGGTCACAGCTGCCTCCAGGGTCAAACGTGTCTCTGAAATCCCAAATGCCAAGTTCCTGGAGACTCGCTCGATGAAATCTACCCCCCACCTTTCCAGCAGCTGCCGGTGTTCGGAAGCTTGTAGACCGCAAAAATGATTGAAGCCTTTTGGTAATTACTGCAGATCATTAGACGTCGTCCCTCTCTGTGTAAAACATTATGCTGAAAACTGTAAGCTGGATCATATCCTGGTGCAGACATCAAAGGAGGTTTAACACCAGCAGACAATACATTGAAGTCCCACCAAATCATACGCAATAATTTGCCTGTCACGGAGATTTCCATCGGTTTTTCTTTTGCACCTGTCTGTGAGCTTCTGGTGGAGGACGTCTCGTGTCTGAGCCCAGAAACCCATCCTCCATTTCAGAGGAGAGTCTGCTGACATTTGTAGTTCTACAAACAATGCCTTGTCTTAGTTCTGCTAAAGATGGCCTTTTCTCCCAGAATATAAAAACTCTAGTTCAAGGGTTAAGTGCTTGTTTTTGGCTGGGGTAAAAAAAAAAAAAGTTGTGCTCACCCGAACCTCTAAGCTGGCTTGCTGTTAGGTGCCTCTCTTCCCCTCCGCTGCAGAAGCCTAAGGTCCCTGAGTCATCAGGTCCTATACACTGTGTATAGGACAATGGGACACTGAGGGACATACCATCACTGCGGCGGAGGAGACGGGCCACAGGCTCCGAGGATTGGGTGAGTATATCTGTTATTTTTCCCCCCTAGCCAAAAACGAGCATTTAACCCTTGCAGTGTAGGGGTAGCCCCACTGCAAGGGTTAATACATATTTTTTACCCGGAGTTCTTTAAAAACTTTGGACATTTGTTTGTTCTCATTAGATTGTATATATTTCAAATCTGGGTCCTGCCCACCCCTCTTCTTTTTTAGGGGGTGTCCCTGTGATGTGGAGTGCTGCTGAACCAGAGCTAGTGTGCCCAGTGATAACTGAACTAATCCTCTGAAAATCTATATGCAGTGCCTAACCATCACTTTAGTTTCTTCCCTGGCCCAGGAGAAATCCTGAAAAAGGACAATTTTGTACATACAGATGTCCAGTGTGTTCATGAATCCTCAATATCACCTTCACTGTATGTCTAGTATAAGCATTTAGGAAGGCAGGGCTAAGACACGTTCTATTTCAAGCAGCATTCCCTGGTCATCACAGACTGAGCCTGGGAAGCCATTTCTAAAGCTGAACTCCAGCCTTCCCTTTGGTCTGGCAATTTAACACATGAGCTTCTTTTCACTCCTCTCCTGGTAAAATGATTTTTTTTTGGTGGAATTCCTATTTAATAGCTCAGGACTTCTCAGTCAAAATTGTGTCTCTGAAATGCTGGTTTCTAGTATAAGTATTGCGTGCCAAGAGAAGGAAAGCCAACACTCGCTTGTAATTATAGAAAGGGGATTAACAGCTAAAATATTAGCTAATGCCGTCACTAAGTCTGTAACATCTGACCCTCGTCGTATAGGAAGGAGGGGACAGAAGCAATGGATGCATTTCAAACCAAATCTCCCAATTAGCCCACCTGTTGATAAAGAGGCTTTACACTGTGTGCCTCTAATGAGTGGATTAAAGGTACACTAACCACAAAAATTTACTTTATTTAATGGTGTCTAGTATGGTATGGTACGTATACTCTTGGTGTAAATTTATATAACCCCCTCTGTATGGTGTATGTACACATGACCTTTCCCCCCCCCTC